CCGCTTCCTTGAACAAAGAAAATTTCGTAATAACGAAAATACATGGAACAAAAGCAAAAGGTATATGTTTCCACACAGATATAGAATTAAAATATAATATCCCGTACGCCACCTTTAAATAACGTTTCGGTAGCAATTATTTATAAAACTTCTATTGAGACCAAAAAATGGTTGCCGATCTGCACTTTGACAACTTAATGAGATCAACTCCCGGGGGAACAACCAAATTATAAAAAAACATAAGGTCATTTAACTCCATGAATAAACAATCATATTTTTTCGCCTTGAAAGCCAGAGATACATTACTGTTGTTTTTTTTTCACGCTACCCGAACCCTCCCCCCCCCCCCCCCCCGAGTTTAAAAAAAAACAGTTTTAGATAGAGACACGCAATGTGCGCGTTTTCCCAGCACCCCAACAACATCACACCCTGGACGAGATCTCGTAGTTAGCGAGACCTGAATCTTTGATAAGGCGCCATTGTTCGCCGGGTGGGTATCTTAACACTGCCGTCGGTTTGACGTCTTCACCGTCGACGGGGATGAAAAGAAGAAAATGGGAGCCATTCTACGACTCAATTCTACCTACCTATCTGCCATCGCCATCAAGGGCCAGTTGGTGCGGGGTTGATTCTGAGAAGTAACCCACCCCCACTACCCCACCCCCACCATAAGAGACGTCCACCTATGGGTGATATCGCTAAACGTTGACACAAATGGACACGGGATCTTCAAAGGAAACAAAATGGCCGCTCACTGAGTGGGGGATGAATTTGTGCTGATGACGACGATGAGATGAAGCTCTGATACTATACTGCTATGGTCTAGTGGAAATGGGAACTTAATAGTTTATAACTACCGAGGTCTATATATTTACTTGGGACCTAACCACCCATGTATATTTACCTGGGACCTAACCACCCATGTATATTTACCTAGGACCTAACCACCCATGTCTATTTACCTGGGACATAACCACCTATGTATATTTACCTGGGACCTACTTACCCTTGTATGTATATTTACCTGGGACCTACCTACCATTGTCTGTATATTTACTTGTGACCTAACCACCCATGTATATTCAGCTGGGACCTACCTACCCAGGTCTGTATATTTACGCAAGTTTTCATGTTAAACTGTTATAAATAATTATTCCCATTTCGTGCGACGTTTGAAAGAATATATTGCTGACTTAATTAATGTACTAGTAACATTTAGATCTTGGCGACATACAGACAGATGCACATCTTTCTTTGTCTTAGAAGTGAGGCTTATTTGATTCTAACTTGATTACAATGACCAAAAGTCACTAAGTCGAGACAAAAGTGCGACCATTTAAAGTAACAGCCGTCTGTATGTGGTTTCACTCAGCTCCAAGTAAATGTAACATAATGTGGTTTTTATTTTTACAAAATAAGTTCATGTACTTGTAACTCAAGCAACTAAGCATCGACAAACTTAACTTAACATCTTTATAAAAAAAACAACGTATATTCGTGATATAATTGGCCCAGTGGTAGTCTTGTCTACTGTGATTCAGGCGTTGGTGGACCAAATCAGCCTCTACCCAGCACAACTTGACGTCTCAATAGGTTCGCTGTGTGAGGTAAAGTGTTCGAACGTTTTCGTTAGGTCACATATGGTAATCAAACAAAGTAACTGAAACTTTGATATTATGAGAACAGACATAAAATGACATCATCCATTATCCAATACTCTACATCTGTCGCCATCGTCATTATGTACTTAAAATATTTTTAAACTCTAATTAACCATTCATTGAACTGGCAAAAAAAAACAAAAAAAAAACATATTTATTCTATAAATCTTGCAATTTTGTTGTCTTGGTGTCACCCCCCCCCCCTCTAAATGGTGTCACCCGGTGCAGTCCGCCCCCGCCTCGCGACGACTCTGGGTGTATATCATATATTCAATGCTTGAGTCACACGACAGAACACAACTCATATGTAGCTTCTTAGCAATAATCAGCACAACACGTTGTTAAATATTCAGAATTTTATATTCTCTTTATTTTAAAAAAAGTCTCTGTTAGTTTTCTAAAGTTTATTAAAATAATAATTTAAAAATCCGCTAACATTATTCCAGGTAAAAAAAGAATTACATAGTATTTCCACAAGTCTTCGCGTATAGCAGTAATAGTGTAAAAATCTCTTGTCCTGGAGCGTGTTTGGGTGAATTACTTTGAAGTTTGACGATCATGAACTACTCGTCATTTTTCAAGATACATAAATAAAAAAAAAAATGTAAAAAAAAAAATCTTTCTAGAATACGATGAAGGAGATTCGAACCGGAGATTAGCGGAAGTAGAAAGCGTTTTCAACGAGTTCGCCACCAGATGGGGTACAGTCGTTGCTAGTCTGCCAATCGGCTGCTGACGACTCAGTTGGTTGACTGGAGACTTATGAAATATTCAACCTTTTTTCCTTCTTCGGTGGAGAATCGTTCTCAAATTTCTTTTTAATGCTGCTGCAGTGTTGGGTAGGTTTGGTGGGCGGTGTTGTCGTTTTCTCGCATCGATGGTAGAGAAAGTGTGTATGTGTTTATGTGTGTGGGCGTGTGCGTGTGGGGGTGGGGGGTTATAGAGGATCCGCGTTTGGGGGTGTATGGGACATCCGTGACTGTCCAAGGCCCCTCTCTTGTATAGACTCAGCGCTTCATGAAAACAAGTTGTTAGATACAAGCTTAAGCTAATGATGTTATGAAATCGTGCCTTTACGGTAAAACACATACGACAATAACAAGATGTTTATATATCCAAATTGGTAACGTCATCACTATGGCGACATTTACACACTGTAAGGGCCACATTTACACACTGTAAGGGCCACATTTAAAAACTGTAAGGGCCACATTTACACACTGTAAGGGCCACATTTACAAACTGTAAGGGCCACATTTACACACTGTAAGGGCCATATTTACACACTATAAGGGCCACATTTACACACTCTAAGGGCCACATTTACACACTATAAGGCCCACATTTAGTCACTCTAAGGACCACATTTAGTCACTCTAAGGACCACATTTAGTCACTCCAAGGGCCATAGTTAGTCATACTAAGAACCGCTTGCAGTCCAGAAGTCTCAAGAGTTAGACAGTGTGTAGGGTTGGCGTGGTCGAGTCGGTCTAAACCGAAAAGTCTCGAGTTCGAACCCTCGGGCAGATGAGGCTCGTTAGCTGGGGACAGCCACTCATCTAGGAGAGACCACTCCAATATCAAACAACTGCTGCCTTGTAGTTTGTTCTTGGTTGGACAAAGGCTATGGAAGCGAATCCAAAAAGAAAAGCAGGCTGAAATCAGAGTCAATGGCCTCATGTGTGCATAACAAGTTGACACTTATCCTTAATTGTGTTGGAGGGGATCCCTTCCAACACTAAAATTAAGAATGAAGAAGAAGAAGACAGTGTGTAATGGGTAGTACTAGAACCCGGATGTTAAGGTTATGGGAGGCTGAGGGTAAAGTTAGACCAGGTGAGCTAATAATGACTAATATGCTCATCAAAGCTTAATGCTGAACTCTAGTTTTGATATTTAACTCCGTTCTCCGTATTTTTTTGCGTTGCTTGTTTTGTGGCGACTTCAACTGCCACACACACTGGCTCGCAATATCAAATGTGGTACAGTGTACAGATGATGCATCAATGAGAAACTTCAATGCTTTTCGTTTGTAAAATCAAACTGTTTTGTAAGTATTGGTCAGCTGGCGAAAGCCCGTTACCGACACACCATCATTTTGCTTTCTCATTTTGCTAATAACCTTTTAAAGGGTAAAATGATACTCTACAACTGGGTGACAAATAAAGTTAATTTCTTTTTTAAATTGAAAATTCAACAATAATAACAGCAAGCTCACAGCATTTTGATATAACTGTTTTTTTTTTTCAAAATACTAATTTAAAATGTAGATGACAATAAAATTACATAATAATATCCACCCCCGCAACTTTTTTTTTTCAAGAAATAATTATTTTTTTTTGTCAGTCGCGGGGTCCCCCTTCACGGGCCCTTGCCGATCCTGAGTAATCGAATCCGACATCACGTTATCGACAGCATCGATACCGGTGCACCCGTTGCGCGTGAGCTGAATAGGACCCACGTGACACACAAGACATTGCCCTCACTCCCATACAGGAGTCTGTCGTCTGCCTTATGTGAAGGACATACAAAATGTATGCTGTACTCGTCCCATCAATATTCGCACACTTAAAAAAAAATTATACTCGTTTTTTTGTTGTCCTGAGCTTCCCATACCTTTTTATCGTTGGGAGCAGGAGCAGCCTATTTGCATGACAATGGTGACCAATTATCGATAATTGACTGGCGACGACGGGCTATGACACCAGCGCTGTTCGCCCCTCCCCCTCCAGTGGCAGGTGCAGGCCCTTGGAACAATTAGGAATTATGTGCACAAAATATGATGACGTCATATGAGCTCAATTTCTAAGAATAGCTCAGTAAAGCCCACTCCCCTACGCCCTCTCATATTAGAAGAGTCTTCATTGTGCATTTAGTTTTTTTTACTTGTGGGCTATCAAGGTAATGCTTTAGGTGTGTTGTCAAGGTAATGCTGAAAGTGTGTTGACAAGGTAATGCTTGAGGTGTTGTCAAGGTAATGCTTTAGGTGTGTTGTCAAGGTAATGCTGAAAGTGTGTTGACAAGGTAATGCTTGAGGTGTGTTATCAAGTTAATGCTTTAGGTGTGTTATCAAGGTAATGCTTGCGGTATGTTGTCAAGGTAATGCTCTAAGTGTGTTATAAAAGTAAGTTATAGGTGTTTACAATTTCTAAAATTTTCACCTGGCTTCATTCCTTTAAGTTTAATCACGTGTGTAGTAGAAAGGTGTGGGGGGGGGGGGGGGGGGGAGGTGTGGGGGGTTGGAGTTTCTTGGCCAGGGTGGATGGTCATGGTTGTAAGTTGCTTGGCCAGGGATGAAAATAACCAACTTCAAACAAACTACACGACACAAGAATAAATACACAACTCAGTATTTTTTAATTCTTCAAATATTTTTTACATTTACTTTGTCATAATGAAATCAAAATAAATTTAAATACAAATGGCAAAAATTGGATTCATCAAATCGAGTATCATAAAACACACAAAAAAAAAAAACACAACTGTTATGGGTAACACAATCACACACAGACAGAACAAGTGGATTACTCAACAGATCTTGTCATGGAGTTTAAAGGGACTGTTGTAAACAGCGGCGATACTACTGCATCATATAACAAATTGGTTATCTCGAGATTTTATTTGTTACAATTAGGGCGGAAGTTGAGCATGAAAATAAAATGGTTGAAACTGCAGTGGGACTTCTAAAAATAAACCTGGATTTTTAAAATTAGAATACTTCAAATTAACAACTTTCTAGTAAAGAAATGTGAATGGGATAGCAAGCAAGGAAGATAAACTGGTTAAAATGATAAGGGAGGAAACCATTTTAAGGGGAATATTCCTGCTAAAATCAATAAGGGGATGGAACCAAGTTGTCAAGGGGAGGTAACTGAGCAGTATGAGGATGGGAGGCAACTGGTTGAAGTTGTCCCGTGGAGGCAGTCAGTTTATGGTGACATGATGAGCAACAAGGTCAAGGTAACAAAAGGGAGGTGACCTTGTTGAGTAGACATGGGAGACAACCACTAAACATTGATCACCTAACAAACTTTCTCTATCTCTCTTTCTCTTTCTCTCTCTCTCTCATACACATACATCTATTTACCCATGTAATAATATGTGGAGATAACTCAATAAACGATTCCATATCAGTGAATTAAAATGAAGATTACATAGTTTGTGTAAATGTAAAAAAAAATATGTAGCAACGAGATCATGTCCCCCATTCAATCTCTTGAGAAGGTAAAAATATTAACACGTGACACACGGGGGCAACCACGCCCCCTATGTTTACTGACGCCACGCCGTCGTGGCAGACACGTTTGAGCATCTCACTCCCGCAGCAACGCCGCAGTGACCCTCGCGGGTTCGAATCCCGCCTCGGCCTACGGGTACAAAATATCACTCTGATAAAAAAAAAATATAGTTATTTATAAATTTGAGCAGAGAGGATGGTGGGATTGGGGGGCGTGACGTTAGCCACACCTCCGCCGAATAAAGTCGCCGTAAGGAAAAATGGATTTCAACTAGGTTTGGATTTTACCGAAGTTATTTATAGCTCATTAATATCTCACAAAATAAATATTTTTTTTACCCAAATTACCCTTTGTAAATATACGCTGTATGCATTTTTTGAAACTTTTATTTGCTTAATAACAAAAGAAAAAAAATTTCTTAATAAAACAACTTAAAAAGAAAGAGTTATATGGATTAAAACACGGTGTGTTTTCTATGTTGAAAAGGGCCTTTGTGTCAATGTTTTAATTACAGTAATGCTATGAATATCATTAATGCAAGAAAATAAATGCTAAAAAAAATTCATTGACAAATATTGTAATGTAAACATGCAAAAAATTTGCCATCAATTATTCATATTTCCTCAGGGACATTATGCAAAGAATATATTGTTGTGTACATCACGTGACAGGATGCCATAGCATAAACCAAAACAAGTTCCCACATAGAAAAAATATCAAATGTATAAATACCTGGTCTATAACAATACATACATATTCAAACATCAACATAGTACATCTGTAATATAAGCACATGACAAGTGTATGACATTCAGATGTCATTTACGTCTGACATCACAGTGCGTGTGTAAATCGATTTTTACAATTAAAAAGTGGATGACATTAAGAATGCTAGAATTAATCATCAATAAGGGGCTGTGTAGTATGAATGAACACTAACAGACGGCCTAATAGGGCCGATAAAGATTGGCAAGATTTCGTGGGCAACAGGGAACCTTAAAGCGTTTAAATAACATAGGTGCATGGATGTAGAGAAGGTACAAGCTGGAGTACAGGATCGAATCCAGGCGAGAATCTAGGATCGAATCCAGCCGAGAATCTAGGATCGAATCCAGGATCGAATCCAGACAATAGTCTAGGGTCGAATCCTGAATCGAATCCAGCCGACAATTTAGGATTGAATAGAAACAAGAATCTAGCATCGAATCCTGAATCGTATCCAGACTATAATCTAGGATCGAATCCAGTCGATAATCTAGGATCGAATCCTGGATCGAATCCATGCAAGAATCTAGGATCAAATCTAGGATTGAATTTAGGCGTCGGCTTAAAAGTTTAAAAGTAAGACGCACTTCCGCGACGTATATAGAAAAGAAGAAAATCTCAACATTGGTATAAAGACAGAATTCCACAGGTATTCAGGGGCGCTGTATACATTAAACAACAGGTAGGAAGTAAACAGGGGCGCTCCACAGATTTGCCCACAGGTAGGAAGTCTTGAGGGGGGCTCCACACCCTACCATGGTGACACCTAGGAAATAAGAACTTGGATTTCAGATTGACATTAAAAAAGCTAACACTTTGTTGTGAAGAGCTAAGAACCAACACCTAGTACCAGCCTAGCTTTAGTTAGGGGTTCGAATACCAATTAGAATTAGATTCAAATCTAGACTTAAATGTTGTTATTAGCTGTTGATTACTAATGACAATTTAATTACATTCTTTTTTTTCTAAAATAGAAAAAAATAAACATAACTGCATTTAAAAGTCATCAAACTTGATAAATGTAAACACAAAATCCAACACAAAATGGTGGATAGGAATAAAATAATAGGAATTCTTTCTTTTATATTTATATGGTAAATATACAGCAGTGTTAAAGTGAAAGTAAAAATAATGAACAAAAAATATCTTTCCAAATCTGAATCACGTGGTCTCAGTGGTCAGCCATCAACCACACAAGTTAAATATTTATTTCATACAAAAAATTCAAAATGAAAAGTTCAATGAAATTAAATTTTAAATATACAAATAGTTATAAACGTAAAAATATATATATTTCTAAATTGAGCAAAGAAATAAAAGTAGCCATAATCCCCATACACCTACTCTACCATACCATAAACATCCATTTAAATACCCCCACCCACCCATCCATAAACAACATAAATCTAAATACCCACCCCGTTGTTCGTTTGTTTTTTGAGGAAAAGCCTTAAAATGTTTATGGTGATGTAAGGACCTATTTGTGTAACGATGTGGCTAGTTAGGTCTTTGTGTAGCTGTTACGTCCAGGAGAGGTCAGACCTTCCACCAACCTAGACCTCACCGTCCGATCTTTTACTAAAAACTTCACAATAAGGATAGGTAGACCTTTCATAAAAACCAAGACCTTCTAATAGTCATAGAAATAATACAAATATTTATAAACTCTAATTCAACAATATATGCGGAGACTTACTAAATTCAAATTTTGACAATGTTTTAAAATAAAAAATCGTGATCTTTGTGCTAACAAGCTTTTACTTGAGAATATTTTAATTAACAAAACCAAAATACATGTACTTTCACACAATACTGCTATACCTCGTTAACTAAATCCGTTAATTAACATTCATACTTGTGCAACATGGATTACACATTCTTACGGATACTCTTTGTGTAACTAAAAATAATCAAACATATAAACACAGATACAAATCAAAAGTGATCATAACATTTTTTTTTGTTGAGCTGTTTGAGACGCCATGTTTTTTTTTAGAGCAGACGTCTACAGATCTGCGGACTGTCATTGACATGGATCATAATCCACATGTTGATACGTCATCACATGTCCATTTGGCAGCATTGTGTTCACAAATGGTGGCATGTACGTCATTTGTTGTAACATTGATACCGACACAACACAATCAGTGGTGTGCATTTTTTTTTCTGGTGCGCAATTTTTCATTCAGCCGAGAATGAGAGTTTCACGATATATGCAAGTGAGATTCATGCTAATGACGTGTGTGATCCATGCCGTGATGTCATCCATCACGTGATGTCATCCATCACGTCTGTGAGTCATCTGTCATGCGAAACAAGATCTTTTGGCCGCACCATTCCGTGCTTGCTACACAATCCAAGGGCTAGGTGACCCTATGGGTCATTGGATCACTGGTGCTAGGTGACCCTATGGGTCATTGAATCACTGGTGCAAGGTGACCCTATGGGTCATTGGATCACTGGTGCTAGGTGACCCTATGGGTCATTGGATCACTGGTGCTAGGTGACCCTATGGGTCATTGGATCACTGGTGCTAGGTGACCCTATGGGTCATTGGATCACTTTTGCTAGAAGCAGAAGATCCTACGCACTCAAGATCACACATTCTAAATGTTGTGCTACACGACCACAAAGTGCCGAGGGACCCTGTGTGCTACGTTGCTAGCACGAGAAAAATTGTATTTTGATAAGTCCACGTATTACATTTCTAATTTGTAAAAATCTTGTACCGTCTTTGTTTCGTAAAAATCAATGTGTGATGACGTCAGCACACTCAACACTCTTCAAGTGTCTATCGAAGAATCAAGTTCATTGAAGATTTGATAAACACTCGCCGCATCAAGTTCAGTGAAGATTTGATAAACACTCGCCGCATCAAGTTCAGTGAAGATTTGATAACCACTCCAAAAGCTGGGCTGATCCCACTTGCAACACGCCTACAACTGTAGGCACCAATTCCGTTAAAGCGGCCCAACTAGGTGGGGGCATTCGGTTGTTGTTATTTCACAAAACAACTTGCTTAAATTTAAAAATCGATATCATGTCCTCAATGAATAAAAAAAAATATAATTGATCTATTATAGTGATGATGATCTTCAATAAAGTAAAGACGTCTTGTTGAAAAACATTAGGCTAAAAAAAACACATAAAATTGTAAATTGCGTTTCTTTTAAGTGACCTTAAAATTTGAATAATCAGAGATCGATCGTATGCCATCAGTGAAAGATTTCAAGTTCATTCTCGATATTTCTCTCCTGCGTCTGCTCTCTGTAGAGGTGAAGGTCGCGTCTTGGACCATTCGTGTAGAGAGCAAGGTCAGAGGTCACATTAACAAACATGGAGAATGCTGAAGCGATGTATGTAGGTCAAGGACGTGTAGGTGCCTACGTCATTATGTTTTGGTGGGTGACGCGGCAGAAGAGGCGGGGTCTGAGCGCATGCTCGGCGCGTAGTAGTTGTATGGATCTGTGGAGGTTAGGGGTCACAGGTTAGAGGTCACAGGTCAAAGTTTTTAATTGTAAAAATATAAGACGTCATACAAATGAATAATAAATGTAAACATGAATGCCTGGACAGATGTGGGCGGAGACAATGCCCCAAGTATTGGTGACAATGCCCCAAGTATTGGAGACAATGCCCCAAGTATTGGAGACAATGCCCCAAGTATTGGAAACAATGCCCCAAGTATTGGTGACAATGCCCCAAGTATTGGTGACAATGCCCCAAGTATTGGAGACAATGCCCCAAGAATTGGAGACAATGCCCCAAGTATTGAAGACAATGCCCAAGTATTAGTGACAATGCCCCAAGTATTGGTGACAATGCCCCAAGTATTGGTGACAATGCCCCAAGTATTGGAGACAATGCCCCAAGTATTGGTGACAATGCCCCAAGTATTGAAGACAATGCCCAAGTATTAGTGACAATGCCCCAAGTATTAGTGACAATGCCCCAAATATTGGTGACAATGCCCCAAATATTGGAAACAATGTCCCAAGTATTGGAGACAATGCCCCAAGTATTGGAAACAATGTCCCAAGTATTGGAAACAATGTCCCAAGTATTGGAAACAATGTCCCAAGTATTGGAAACAATGTCCCAAGTATTGGAAACAATGTCCCAAGTATTGGAAACAATGTCCCAAGTATTGGTTACAATGTCCCAAGTATTGGAAACAATGTCCCAAGTATTGGAAACAATGTCCCAAGTATTGGAAACAATGTCCCAAGTATTGGTTACAATGTCCCAAGTATTGGAAACAATGTCCCAAGTATTGGAAACAATGTCCCAAGTATTGGAAACAATGTCCCAAGTATTGGAAACAATGTCCCAAGTATTGGAAACAATGTCCCAAGTATTGGAGACAATGTCCCAAGTATTGGAAACAATGTCCCAAGTATTGGAGACAATGTCCCAAGTATTGGTGACAATGCCCCTAAGTATCCGTGACAATGCCCAAAGGGTGAACCACAATGCCTATTTACCTGAGTAGATAGTTAGGTTAAAATTAAGGTATTCTGACTTTATTAATTAATATTTATGAGGTAATAAAGACGTACTTATTATGAGGTAGTTAATTCTTACTTAGTAAAGACTTAGTCATTAGGTAATAAAGAATTACTCATGAGGTAAAAGACTTACTTATGAGGTAAAAGACATGAGGTAAAAGACTTACTTATGAGGTAAAAGACATGAGGTAAAAGACATGAGGTAAAAGACATGAGGTAAAAGACATGAGGTAAAAGACATGAGGTAAAAGACATGAGGTAAAAGACATGAGGTAAAAGACATGAGGTAAAAGACTTACTTATGATGTAAAAGACTTATGATGTAAAAGACTTACTTATGACGTGTTGCCGAAGGTTCCAGGAGGGGTCAGCACCGTAGGGGGTTCCTGCATACTGAGAGTAGGGGGCGGTAGACGTGTAGGTGGCGTAGTCTGTGGGGGACAAATTGGGTTCATTAATTGGCATGTCAAAGGTCAGGTCAGTGGGTCAAGTGACAACATTCAAACAATCAAGTTCAAAGTTCGTCAAGTTAAGTCACTCATAGACAAAAACCTGGCGTCAGTTAAATCAACGCTCACAAATGTTTAAAAAAGAAGTCATAGTTGCTTCAATGATGTTACGAATGAGTTTTATGTCTAGAAAAAAAAATGTCACCCAAAGTTCGAGTTGTTAAAATAAAAAGAAAGAGCGATAACCAGAGAGAGATGACAGGGAGAGAGAACTTGAGAAACAAGGTCGATGAAACAAAGACGTCAACAGAGCCATCGGGTCGTCTGCGGGCGACCAAACTTGTTATTAAAACACCATTACAGGCGATTGGTCACTGACAGTCCGGCGTGGGGCGGGGTGTCACCCGAGGCTAGGTTTGTCACACTGAGGGGAGTGGGAGGTGACAACACAAGCCTGAATTTTGTTTCCTCTCGTATTTCATCAACACGACCCCGACATTTTCTCAACCCAATTTTTTAAGTGAGAACCGCTGAGATTTTACAGGCAAACGGTCCAGGCTCAGACCCATGCACTTAACACCAAACAAGACTCACCCCCCTCCACTCTCTCAGCCCCCCCCCCCCCCCCCAGGGCTCCTGTCTTGTTATGCCTACAGATCTGCTGGTAATGGAATAGCCTGAGACGTCTAGGGTGCTTTAATGGGCCGCTAGAAGCCCCGCGCGCTGCGCTGATTATCTTTCACTTCGCCTTCTAATATGCTCGTTTCATTGGCGGCCGCTGGTGGAAATTGGCTAAAACCTCGCCATCTCGCTCGTTCCGTGGGCCGGTCTTTCACGAGGCGTTTCTCCAAATAAACTTATTCGCTTTCCATTATATCTCGCGCGATTCAAGCCCGGGCCTGAGCGAGGGGAGGAGGGGGAGAAGAGGACAACCGCCTTTCATTGTCAATTAATGGACATTCCCGTTAGGGTTCAGAGGTCGACGCCTACAAAAACAAACGAACAGGCCACTAATTAACGACCTTGCCGATTGGCCAGAGTGATAGGCCAATAGATTCACAGCTCTCCCGAGGGACAGATCCTGATAATGGCGGCCATTTCCGAGAGTCGATAAGACCACGTGGGCGCTGAGGCAGGGGCGGGTAACTGTCGGCTGGGGAATATCAACACAGATAGGGCCGCCCCTGCACTTACTTTCCCGATGCCCGGTTCCATCCATTCCGGCAGAGTGGAATCCCCCCAGCCCACAGACCGATAGATTTCCCCCGTCCCCGAGGAAACTCGGATTGATCGGCGGGGCCGCAGTTTTCAAACCTGGCGATCAGCTCCCCGCGCAGACTTGTTGACGCTCGTGTGTACTAGCTCACTCGCCCATTGTCTCGGTCTGCACACAGCACAAACAAATTTGTTGACACAGCCAACATGACTCGCGCAACTTCGACTCGGAGACTAAGGCTTTATGATGAATTCGGTGGCCGCCAGTTGAATTGAATTGATCGATTCAGGTTTTTTTTAAAGTTCTAGACTGAATGAAAAAGTCTGCTTTAGTTGCGGCGGTCGAGGTCTTTGTTTCAAGCCAAATTAACAAGGGGATTGCGGCGGATAGGCCAAATGGCATCTAACTTGAAGACATCTACGACCGATGAGGTCCTAGGGCAAACATGCAACAAAGGAGGGAGATGGACGCAGGTAAACACACGGAACCCACAGCCCAACAGTCTAATTAATGCAAACACGCGCAAAATTAAATTAATCAAAAGCTTAATCTACAAATTACGATAGAATCTCGGGTGGATTTTTTTTTCTAGAGAGAGAAATTTTTACCCCCCACCCTCCCCTCCTCCTTACTCCAGATTCACTCCAAAAAAAAAAGACTTTAAAAAAAAATGTTTCGGTTACTTTTGTTTAATGATGAACGTCGTTAAAATTATATCTGGTCTTTGGTAGACAGCTCCCCCCCCCCCCCCACCACAATAGAGGGCCCCAAATAAATCTTATCCCCTCATCTTGTTACAATTAGTTTATTTAAATGTTAACTCGGAACGTTTGCAGCGAAGGTCTTTTCGGTTCTTGGTTCGGATCTCTTCTCGACAGCAGAACATCCCTGAGTCTACGGATCTTTGATTGGTACCTGACTGTTGTTATGGAAACAATAACAGCTGGGCATAGTGCTGAACACTCTATCTCTTCCTATGCCAAGGTAATTGAAACAGATAAACTCTACTTCATCTGCTCTATGTGTCTTGGGCACGAGCGGAAGGTGATAAAAACCAGTGTATTTGGTTCTGTAAATTACATGCAGGACAGAGCTGTACTTGATATACCATTTGGTATTTATGTGAGTAGTTGCAAGAGTACAAGTACTATGGTTTTCTAGACTACATATAGCGTTGAGACAACCTTATCATATCTTTTAGGGTAAAGAGAAAAAAAAATCGTTGAAGCAAAGTTCTAGGGATGAACTATGGGATTTTACTCTTGTGTTGTGTGGTAAAGTAAAGTGAAGTTTCCCTTTCAAACCTGACGGTCTATGGGGCAAGTGAAGTAGAGTTCGTGAAGAAGAGTTCAGTGAACTCGGCATATGAACAGATAGTGTGGTCAGCACAATGCCCAGCCGCCTTTACTTTCCCATTGGGTGGACTCAAGGACGGTCTACTGACTCGAACCCGGATTCGAACTCGAGATTTACGGGTTAGCAGTCCAGCTCTCTACCGCTAGACCACTCCGTCCCATGTGGTAGCCAAGCAATATCTCTGCCTTACGTCGTATCACCGGCAGACAGAATCTCTCCGCACGTTAAATCACGTCTAGCTCCACACCGCATTTGACTTGTTGCTCCAGCACCTGATGACACCGACGTCCCGCGCATGCGTGAACGGTATACTAATTTGTAAAACCGTCATGCGTATTAGCCTGTTCTGCTTACTTAACTTCGCGGAAGGTTTTTTAACGATGGGAAGAGAGTCCCTGATCGTTTTGGAAGCCGGCTGGTGTAGGTGGACGGCATGGGGCTCATGTTGCCAGTGTGGCGTAGATCAGATCATAACGACGCGTGACGCACCTTTGCGTTTACCCAGCGTTTAAACCCTCATTGACAGGGCGAGCAGCTACAAGCACTCATTTCTCCAGAGCGCATGCGTAAAAGTATCAAACAACAGGCGCAGGAGGATTGGGGGAGGAGGCGTCGAGAGAGGGGATGGGGTATCGAGGGCTCCGGTGGGACAAATTTAAAATGTACTGGCTTCCAGAGTTCAATCCACAAAAAGAGGAAGTAAATTTTGGAGAAGGAAAAAAAATAATTTCCGAGTTGTGTAAATCACGGTTAAACAAGGCAGCTATGTGAAGGCGGGGGGCGGGGTGGGTATGGAGGGTAGGAGGCGAGGGCTGGAGGGCAGAAGGGTGCCGACAGAGTGACGGGGTGGAGGGCGTACAAGATCATTTAAAGGCACTCTCAGCCTGTGTCAGGCGTCGGTAATGGTTTGGGCAGATTTCGAACTGGTGTCGCCCCGGGTGGGGGGAGGGTGGGGGAGGGTGTTCTCAAATCATTGAGTGTAAGGGGAGTCTGGTACATGCAACTAAAACTCGTTCTTGTCCATGTGGGGCGCGCAGGGGGCGCCGTGGGGCGCGCGGGGATCGAGTTACAGCACGGCAATTGATGTGGTTTCTGATACACGTTTGAACTGTTTACATTAAGGCTTGAGGCTCACCGGGATAGTCGTTGTGTTACAAGATACAAACATGCAAGTCTTAAAGTATCACAAGCTGATACAAGCTACAGCAGCAAGGTGGTGCTGGGCGTGGTAAGAGAGGTGGGTGGGATGGAGCAGAGGCGTAGCGAGGGGGGGGCGGGGGGGGACATATGTCCCCGGGCGCCGACCTTAGGGGGGCGCCAAATTGAAAGTTTGAGGGGGGGGTTGCAAATGAAAAGTTCGAGGGGGGGTGCAAATCGAAAGTTTGAGGGGGGGGGTGCAAATGAAAAGTTCGAGGGGGGGTGCAAATCGAAAATTTGCTCCCGAGGGGGGCGCCAAATTGAAAGTATGTCCCCGGGCGCCGGGAAGGGTCGCTACGCCTCTGGGATGGAGGGGGGTGGATTGAGGGGGGGGGGGTAGACGGAAAGGATGGGTGTGGGGTGACTCGTACGTTTACCTAAAAACGTTATTCTTCAACTAGAGCAATCTAGATTCATATTACAGATTACTTAACACGATCCAGGTAAAATAGCTGTTGGTTTTGACATACCACGTTCGATTATTATTAGTTTTGTATCGAATCCGCAGTCTAAACTTATAAATTGTTGTCATTTTGTGAGACATAACTTTTTTTTTTAAGGCCGTTCAAAATCTTCTGACAAATATCCCTGTAAATACATATATTACTTTTCCAGTAATGTGTCATTACTTTTTCAGGTAACGTATGTTTTTTGAAAAGTTGAAGTGATCAGTCCCTAGCCCTCAAAACAAACCCCGTATTTCGGTATACTACTTTGGTGTGGTTTCTTTTTTACACAGCTTGTGTGTGGATCAGCCACACAGCTATTGTGTGGATCAGCCACACAGCTAGTGTGTGGGGAGCCGCCACACACAGCTCTGCCCTTGATGAAAGCGATACACCCCAGCATGAGCCAGAGTTATGTCCCACAACGACACACGTGATACCCGACTTCATTCACGAGGTCAAGGTCAGCAGACGTCACTGATCGTCCAGATTGAGAGACAAAAAAAAATGGTGAATACCACAGCAGGTAGAGGGATATAACGACAGCAGCATGTATATTTTGTTGCCGATAAAATAAATTAACATGCATGTAACTCAATGCATGTCTCAACATAATTAACTCCTATATGACTTTTTTTTTCTACATGACACCACCACCAAGCTTATTAACCCTCAAAGACCCAGGTTTATCTATACGGCATCAATAACTAATTAACCCCCGAATGGCAGGATTTGTGTACATGTCCCAGCCAAAACAATGAACGGCA